AAGTCTGAAGCATTTCTAGCTTCAGAATTCAACTGTGTAAAAAGTAGTAGTAAAAATCACAACTACAGATGAACTCCGTATATGATCTTACAGGATGGAGAGAGCTGCGCTGCACCCTGTGACTACCAGAAAGCGGAGGCACATGGGGGAATTAATAAGCAGATCATAACACAGGGTAGATATTTGGAAAAGCTATATTCAGGGAGGAGGTTCTGTGCTCTGTGGAGTGTACTTGAATCCACGAGTCAGTGCTGTCTATGCTACAGCTATTTAGCACCAAACAGAACAGCTGTTAGCTGTATAACAGCTATTTAGCACCAAACATACAGCTATTACCACCAAGTCATAGCAGGGTCTGTGGTGATAGAACAAGGGAAAATGGATTCATGCTCAAAGAGGGTAGATTTAGGTTAGATGTAAGGAAAAAGTCTTTTACAGAGGGTGGTGAGGCATTGGAACTATTCGCCCAGAGATGTTGGTTGATGCCCCATCCCTGGAGACTTTCAAAATGAGGCTGGATCAGGCCCTGGGCAGCCTGATCTAGCTGTGGTGTCCCTGTTCATTGCAGGGGAGTTGGACTAGATGGCCTTCAGAGGTCCCTTCCAGCTCTAAGGATTCTATGATTGTATGACAAAACAAGAAGTTCTGCAGGCTGGTTATTTTGTCTCCTACAGATACAGGTGGTGATAAAACAAATGTGGTTAAGAGTTTGATTTCTTCTGAAAGATTTAAGCTCTTGGTGCATGTGTACTCGGTCTGCAATGCCAGACCTTCCCCTAAAACAGGCAGACACAAATGTGGGGAACACTTTTCCTCCAGATTCTCGGGGAGAAAATAGGCTGCCATCCCTGTACCTCAGCTGTCAGTTGAAGACCTTTGCTGCCACTTGCACAGTGCAGGATTTGTGAGTTTGCTAGGCATGCCCTTCTCACACAGCCCCGGCACCACTCCTGCATTCACAGAACAGTTTACATCTACGGAGTGTCACCTCTCCAAGGTGACCTCACCTAAGAAACAGCAGCTCAAGGGGGATGTTCAGAGAGCTGTGCAAAACATGCATTTGGCTATATGCCGCATTCAGCTCCCTTTTTCTATGTCTTGGTGTTTATGCATCAACCAAAAACTCCCCCTTCCCCCCCATGATCTTCCTCCCACAGCCCAGCATCGCTTTTGGGCTGCTCCTCCCTTCCCCAGCCAGCCTTCTTGCTCTGACAAATGCTCCCTTGGCAACAATAGCTCCCTCTGGGTCCCTCCCAGTCTGTGGTCATGGCTACTGGGGTGTGCGGCGTTCTGCCCACCTGAGTCAGAAATGCTGAGCAGCTCAGCCGACAGCAGAACAAAGAGCAACTCATCGGCTGGCCTGTGCTCAGGGCTGGCTGTGCGAACTGCTGGCCTCACTGCTGCAAACTCTCCGATTATATTTTGCAGTTCTGAAAACCTCTTCAAATTAAGGAGTCTGTTGTGCGTGTAATTTGAAACTGCCTTTTCTTCGGAGAAAAAAATGAATTACAAAAATAAATGTTTCTCTACCTAAAAAATGACCCTATGTGTTATCTGGGGAATAGAAAAGGATCCCCAGATAAGGCTACGAAAATATGCAGTATGTAATTTTGATTACGTTTTTCTAATAGACTATTTATGTGTAAATGTTTGAAAGGATTTAAAGAAGTCACATTATTTTATTTGTTTGTTTGTTTATTTATATATTTATTCTCCTAGAGCCTTAAAATTGTAAATTTTGATGGAAATTTTATCTCCATGTTTGCTAAAAATCTTCCTTTTCTGTGGCTGTTCCAAAGGGCTTCGTAGGGAAGATGCATTTTTTGTTTGCAATTTGAGGGGAGAATCTTCAATGAATCTCTCTGAAGTGTTTTCAGAGAAGGCTGACTGATGAGTCTGCACTGACACTGCAAAAACAGGGCTTGTGAACAGTGCAGAGCTAGCAGGTGCTCATTCTGTAACTTACCCATTCATTCTGTGTGTGCTTCTTTCTGAATCAAGTGCATGTGCTCCTCCAGCATCACACCTCTTGCATCTTCTCTGGAGCACACGTTCCTCAAGTAAGCAGCCTCACACATTGTGCTGGCTGCAGTGCTGAAGGGAACACCTCTCATCAGGCACATCACTGCCATGTGTGTTTTTTGTGTGGAGGTGAAAATGGCAGATTTCTGCATCTCTTTGTCTCTTCCCATCTTGTTTTTATGATGGATTAAGGTTTGATTTGTCATCTGTATGTTGGTTTCAGTCTTTCTCCGTACTGTTTACTGGTTCTAGGAAGGTGCTATGGAATGCTGATATTCCTTGGAAAGCTAACCAGAACTTATTTGATTTGTACAATAGTATTCACTGAATAAGACACCACGAGGTTGTAACCCTGGCCAGCATCCATGATTGATCTCACCAATCGATATTCTGCTTTCGATATTCTATTTTGTACAAATATAGAATCATAGAATCATTTGGTTTGGGAAAGATCAGGAAGGTCACCTCATCCAACCATTGACCCATTCCCACCCTGCCCACTGACCACGTCGCTCAGTGCCACATCTCCACATCTCTTGAACACCTCCAGGGATGGTGACCACCACCTCCCTGGGCAGCCTGTGCCAATGCCTCACTACTCTTTCTGAGAATAGTTTTTTCCCGATATCCAACCTGAACCTCCCCTGTCACGACTTGAGGGCAGAACCCCTTGTCCTATCAAATTTTAGCTAAAGGTCTCCTTGTGGAGCCCAGTGCCAAGAGTGTACCCTATAGAAATGGATTTCCTTCTGTAAGATGGAGTGAATTGAATCTGAGTCTAACACATTCTGGGTAAATGCTTGTTGAAGAGCTGAGTTAAGGTAATAGGGAAGAGAAGACAGGCAAATTTCTGAAGGCATCTAAGGCCAAGCTGAATGGAGCCCTGGGCAACCTCATCTAGTGTGTGGCAACCCTGCCCACAGTAGGAGATTGGAACTGGAAAATCTTCGAGTCCCTTCCAGTCTAAGCCATTCTATGAATTTACAATTCTATGGAATTTCTTCACTGTTTGAAAGGAAAATGCGACACCCACTTGCTCTTCTCACAGCTCACTCCAGAAGAAGCATCTGGCACTTAACTCCAGGCAAAGAGGGGCTCTCTCCCTGGTGCCAGGTTGCAGCAGGACTGAGGCTGCACTACTGAGTTTGTGCAGTGGACCTGGCAGCAGTAGCATGCTCAGGATATGGCTGGCATGACTCTGATGGGGCTGCAGCATGCAGGGAAGGCAGAAAGGATCCGTCTACACGTGCCTGCACCAAAATCTTTCCAGAATTTGATAAGAGGTGGGAAGGGAAGGGAAGGGAAGGGAAGGGAAGGGAAGGGAAGGGAAGGGAAGGGAAGGGAAGGGAAGGGTCTGTGCTTGATGCTGAAACTACATGCATACTTAGAAGCTTCCGTGTCTGGGGTCTTTCTTCCTGTACTGCACATAAACAGGAGCCTGCTCCAGTTAGTTGGCAGCTGCATACGGGGAGGGCTGTGGGTTGTCATTGTTATTGCCATAATACTGTGTGTAAAGATGTCAGCCTGTACTGAGACCCAGTTAGGCTGTCAGCACAGCAAGCTGGAGGCCCCTGGAGAAGCAGAAAGACAGATGACTTGCCTGCAGTTAAACATAAGTCAGTGGCAAAAAATAGTACCTGGTCTCTGGAATGAACAACCAGCATGGGATCAACCCTTCTTGTCTTGTGCTTCCTGCAGCTTGCAGATGGATGTGACGGATGGAGAGCTGAATTGAGATCTGTTGGGTCTAATTGAGCCTTAATTATAATACATTAAACAATTAAAATAATGAAGATCAGGCACCATCAATTCTCAATACAAAGAGATTTAGCAAGATTAGGCTTTTAAAACTGTACAGATGATGCCATTAATCTTGGAAGAGCTCCAATGTAAACAATACAATTCCCAGACAGCTGGGAGGGCAGCAAACCAGAGGTAAGACCAGATTCCCGGCAAAAAGTGTAAGGGTAGATAGATTTTTTTGCCTCCATTTTACAGCTTTTACATGAAAGCAAAATACTGTACGTATCAAAACACATATAACATGATTTGAGTAATAGGAATTGTGGATTTCAGGAAAGCAGCTTGTAATGCGTGAATTATGTATGCTACTGTACTTCTCGTTTATATGTCTGAGAGTTATGCAGTTAGTTATTTATATTAACTTTGGCACTGAGGAGGATGGCTCTTGCTGAACCCTAGGAGCAGAAGATGCTCTTTGTCCGTGAAGCAGGTAGAGCACTGTGAGAGATGAGAGGGGACTTTGGGCCCCACGCTCGTTCCTTTCCTGACCTCTCTGGGGATCTCATCATCACTTTTATCAGCAGGAATGCATTTATGGCACTTTGTCATTGGTGAGAAAAACCTGCTGTGTGAAGCTGGGCTCCCCCCGGAACTCCAGAGCTGATGGAAGGAAGGTCCTGGAGCCTGGGCACAAAGCAACCCAAAGCTGTTTGTGAGGGGCAGAGTGAGGTGTGAAGCTGTAATGGGAGAGTGGGTAAATGTGACCAGAAGCCCGGCCTGGAGTTCACAGGTAAAATGATTTTACCAGAAAAGGAAATTCTTTTTAAAAAAGCCAAGGAACAAAGACATTTGAGGCATCCTCTGGGAAATAAGGATGAGCAATCTGACTGTGGGTTTTCTTTGTATAATCGAACGCTGTATTCCTGGAGGGATCTTTTTATTTGGTTCTTTGCTCTCTCTGATTCCTCTCGACAATGTACACAAGCTGCAGCACAGAAGAGAGAGAGTCAGGGGGAGATAATAGGGTACTGAGAGAATGTAATTAGTAAGTCCTTGTGGCACTGAGGGGGACTATGGAAGGTGAGGAGCAAAAACAGATCCTCCCGATGTCTGAATGTATTAAACTTCTCATCGAAGAAAGGCCAAAGAGGCACCAAAAGCAGTTGATAATTTTAGGAAACCTACAAAAGTGTGTTAGGCAATACATTCTCTTTTCTCTTTTCATTTCACCATAGGAAAACTTAGTGCTGCACCACTTTCAAGCAGGAGAATTTGGGCCAAGGATTTAGCAACGGACATCTGAAGAACTCAGAAAAAGCAAGGGATGGGGAAAACAGAACAAAGGAAGAGGCTGGCTCCCTTTCACAGCAACCTTCTTTTAGAGCTCCTCAGCAGACACGTGAGTGAGCTCCTGCTGGGGTGGGTGCCACACACACTGAGACCAGAGTGCTGCAGAGCCGTGCTCCGAGCAGGCGGCAGATGGACAGGAGCAGTGCTGTGCTGCATGACTCCAGGCTGACCCAAGGAACCCAAGATTTTTGGCATACTGGTCTTGACCTCTCCTTTCTGTCCTGTCAGCTGTTATTTCCCAGTGCCCTTGGATAGGCTGAAATTGCTCTTCCCGAAGGCCTTTATATGGTTCCCCCCTCCTATACTTCTGTTAGGCTTTTAGATCTTTGGGTGAATCTTGGAATTGCAGATTAAAATCCCACATCTCAGCTTTTATTAAAAGATTTGCCGAGGTCCGGATGTTGCTGGAAACCTGATATTCTGCACCATTTACTGGCTGTGAATTATGTAGATACTCATATTTTTAATTTCCTTTCATTTAGTTGTGTGTGCAGGACCTCTGTCATGACCAGCAGGGAACTCTCCTGGGTACAAAGAGGCTATTCAGCTCCTGTGCCAACCCTGGCTTGTAAAAGCCTGACAGCTCTCAACAAACAAAGCCTAGAAATGTTGCTATTAAAAGCATTTATTGAATAATTCCATATGTGACAAAATGATAGCTGCAAAAAGCGGTGGAATTGTTTTTTAATGGATAAATCTTATTTGAAAAGTGAAGCAGAGCTGCAGAAGCTCAGAGAACAGTCACCTGAGGATAGAGCTTTGAGCAACGTGGGAAAAATTAGAACCACTCTGAACAATATAGAAGATAATAGTTTGCAGAACACGTCTGCTTTGAGTGGGAGCTTTTATGTAAAGAAAAGAGAGGATAAGCCTGGCTTTAACTTTTGTGTTTGAACGCTCTCACAAATAGAGGTAGGAGAACAAATGTTCATTCCCTTCAGCCAAACCCACAGCAGCTGGAAACAGGAGGACCCCTGTTCTGCATAGGGTCGGTGGGCTGCAAAGGGCACCGTGGGCAGACCCTTGTTTCCTAGCCAGCTGTGTGATGGGCTGCAAGGCCTTACATCTGCTTTCACATCTTGACTGTGCGTCAAGACACCACTGCAGTGTGCCCTGCCTGATACTTTCTCTTCTCCTCTCCTCTTGAGAGGGAAAGAAGAGAGGTACCTTCCCAGGAAGGGGCTCTGTATGGTTCTCCCCATCCCCACGGCACGACAGCAGCCCTTTGCTCTGTGTGCAGCCCTTGCGCATGAGGGAGGCAGGGTGCTGAGCTCAGGTGGCTGCAATCTCCTTAGAGGGTGGAGCAGAGGAACAGTAATTGTGTAAGTGCTGTTATAGCAACTGAGGAGCAGCTCTGCTGGAAATCCAGAATTGCCATGGGAGAGGATCCCATTTCTATGCCTCTCTGCTTAGACCTTCTTTGCTTTGGTCTTGCTTGGACGCCAAATAAAAAGAATACCATTCTTTGAAAAGAGGCATCTGGACACTATTTAGCCACAAAAATAAACCAAGAGCGGCCATCCCAATTGTTTGCTGAAAAGAATCTGTTGTGATGGGCTCTAGGCAGGTGACATCTGGGGGTGGAGAGCCCTTTGCTGGGACTGGCAGAGGCAGATGCTGTGACCTCGAGGGGCAAGAATGCCTCTATGGGAGCGAGGAGTTTCAGCGAGGGCAGACCGCTCCCCGACTGCTGCTGATGTATGTGAATGCAGGATGGAAATGCTCACACTAAGGCAGGAATTTCTTGGCACTTGTAATGTCCACATTAGGGAAATGTTTTACATCACTCCAGGGATGGTCTATCTTGTCTGGTCTCTTCAAAGAGATAGTTGGAGAAAATATGAAAACAGCATATCAGGATTATAAAAGTTTACTGGGGGATCAGATAGAAATGAAAGGGAGGACAGAAAAATGTTATGGAACAATTAAAACAAATAACATTGGAAAACATAACAGTGGAGCTGATCCTTCAGAAACCCTCAATGAACATCACAAGAAAACTGGGATTTAAGAGGATATTTGGGAAGTAATTGAGTTCAATCTAGTGAGGAACAGATTTTCGAAGTCAAACATAGGAAAACAGGCAGAAGTGCCTACTATGTTTGGAGTATTACACATGCAGGTGCAAGTGCTCAATTTAGAAATGAGTTTCTGACATTCCTGCTGGAAGGGAGTGAACGTTTGTGTGCATCAATCGATTGCTGCAGATCAGCATCGTCATGTAAGACTGTCCTGCTTTTGGAAATGTCAAAATTTTATGGAAAAAAATGCCCTCTCCTCAGTTCCTTCTCAATATGGGATGCCTAATAGCAGTAAAATTGTAGCCCTCTTACATCAAAATAGATCTATACTGGCTTTTCTATAATAGCAGTTTTCGCATCTATTGCTTCCCGAAGTGGTTGTGATATATCATCAAAGAATGTCTTGTGCTCAGTGCTCACAAACCAGCCTTTTATCAGAAAACAACTACATGGAGAAGAAGAGTTTTACAAAATCAAGGCTATTTAAACTTTAAGAAGTGCCTGGGATCATTAATTTCTGATTTACTCTTCAAACCAAAGAGATGACTAAAAGAAAAAAACTCAGTTCAACACCTTGCCCACAGCTAGAAAACAGACAGCGGAGACACTTTGTGTGTATTACACCTGCAGAGTCTCTCTCTTGCATTACTGACATGTTCTGGCCCCGAACTGCAGCAGCTGCCACCCCATGTCAGGAACTCCTCTCTCTGCTGCATGCGTTTCTCCTCTCCTCTGCTCAGCATTTCCTGTTCTAGGGACCAACGCCATGAGATGCTACGACTGGGAAGAGCAGGAGGGCTCTGTGGTGTGAGCCAGACTTTCAGCAGTAGCACCATGGTTTTGCTGGAGGAGGAGCGCTGACAGCCTGGGCAGCAGCTGCTGTGTGGGGCAAAAGCAGGGCCCCATCCCACAGCAGTACTTCTGCCTTCTCCCTTCCTATCTGCAGCAGAGGCAGCAGGCCTGGTTTTCCGCCTCAGTGCTGCCCTTCCTTCCCCTTTCCTGTGGCAGGAGCAGCCTGAGCCTGGCTCCTTGTCCCCTAGCTAACAACTTTCAGTTGCTCGAGCTCCTGAGAGCCTGGAGGTGGCTCTGCCCCAATTTGCCATGGCAGAAGGTGGGTGGCTCCTGATGCTGGGGATTCGCAGCCACATGCTGTCCTCAGGCAGTGCACAGCAAAGGTATGGCCCTGTCTATCTTCTGAGTTCTTAGAGAAGAGTCAGATGCTTCTGCTAAATTAGGATGCCGAGCTCGAAGCTGCATTCCGCACATGCAGACGAGTCTCTTGGTTACAGCAAGGTCGGTGAGATTGGAGTGCTCAGCCCAGCTCGGCCCACAGGGATTTCAGTAGCAGCTCACGGAACTGGCCTCCTCACTGCAGAATCTGCTGAGGAGCTGCTGCCCCTCTGCATAGCCCTCACACAGCAAACCACCTCTTCTGAGGATACAGGCAGCCTGCCCCGGCCTTGAACGTGCGTTACAGACGAGGGAAAACACCAGGCTCGCATATTTTTGAAATCACACTGAGTCTCACATTGCTCTGTTTCTTCCAACAGTTCCCACTTGTGTGCTGTGACACTTGAGGCCATCTGACCCCTGAAGCAGAAGTCTGGGCAATTACAGATGGTGCTGGCTGTTCTGAGAGCTGAGCTGTGCACAGGCAGCTCTGTCCCTGCATGTGCCATGGCCGGGCAATGCCTTGCATGAAGCCCTGGGATGAGTCTTCCTGGCCAGTGCAGGATGATATGTGCAGGACTCCTACTGTTGGGCAAGGCCTGGGACTGCAGTGCTCACTCTCATCTCCAGATTCTCCTTCCACATCCTTGCAAGCCAAAAAAGTCTTCTAACAGAGAAAGCAGAACTTGAATCTTCCATGCAAAAGTCCTGCTTGGATCTCTGTTCGCAGGCTGCTTTCCTTCCTGTCCTCTTTACATGGAAGGCTGCTGTGTAATGTTATTTATTAACAACCCACAGGGAATGCAGCAGGATTAGTTATAATTTTGCTTGTATTCTTAAATACATTGCACCTGATTTCACCGCCCCTGGTAGATGCTAGGAATTCAGCCTTGTGGTGCTGGTCAGCAGGGTGAATGCTTTATCTCTAGGCTCTCAGTACCCCCAGAATGTCTGTCTGTCCCCTGACGTAGATCCTAACTCTGGGCACTCCCAGCCGTGGGTCCATGCCAGCCCCCCAGTAACAGGGCCAACAGAAAGAGAAGTGTGCATAGGATTCTAACATCCAAATTTCAGCAGTTTTTGCATGGATATAAGGAGCTCTAAGCAGAACTGACAGGTTCAGGGGCCTGGACCTGCGTCACCCTCAGTCATTCCTGGCCAGGGACAAACCATGCCAACAGCCATCACAGAATCGCCCAACGCTGTGTGGCAGAGACCTCAGTGTGACCCAGGAGATGTATTTGTAGCACAGCCAATCTCTTTTCAATCACGGAGTCATCCTTCCTTCCACGCCTCCATGTCACTTGTTTCAACAGTGGCAGTGTTTCTCCAACACGAGGAAATAAACATGTGTAATAGAATTATGATTTTTTTAGTTTATCTAACCAAAGCATTTTTAGGAGCTGGATAACAGAGTAGAATGCCAGTCCCAAAATTGTAACTTTTAATGTTGGGTGAAAAATTAAACCTTTAAAATAGATATTAAATTTGAGAGAGGCTGAAAAAGTTCTGTTGGAACTTGGAGGAGTTTCAAACGTTATTTTTAACCATAGACATTCAGCTCTTATGGGAAACAAAACTTAGAAGGACAGATATAATTAGGTCAGATATTGAGAAACTTATTATGCTTTGCTACAGATGATCCCAGGAGAATGTAACTTAAGCCCTTTTTTTGTATTAAGATTCAATCATGGTTCTTCACTTTTTTATGCAGAGTTCTGTTCAAAGAATAAAATAAAGTAGGATAGAAATATGCTTTGTATTGCTAAGTGCTTCAGCATGTGAAGCAATGAATGTTTGACAAGAAATCTAGGGACAGAAGGCAAGATTTGTATTTCATTTTGTACCAAAATACATAACATTATGCTAGCATCTGTGCCTGCTTTTGTTCACTGTGTAGAAACGCCGGTACACTGATGGCACTGGTATCTGCTGGGATGCTTGGCATCTCCAAAGCACCACCGTGTGAGAATGAACTCTGCCTAGCAGCATGACTACAACACAGACATTATTCATACTATGAATGGGGAAACTGAGGCCAAGAGCTTGATGGTCAGTGCCAAGTCTGTTTCACAGTTGCAGTCAGGACCCTACAGCTTCTACCTTTTGCTCCCTTTGCTTCTGCAGAGACAACTACCTTCACATGCGAGATGTACATCTCGTACGTAACCACAGGAGAAAAGCCTCTATCAAAAGAAGAAACAAGCCAGTAGGTGGCTGATACCAGGTACTGCTAACACATGCATCTGTCATTACTCATAGCATTCGTCATGTCTGTTACTGAGGAACACTGTTCCTTACAGTAGGTGTCTAATTTGCGGAATGCTGGTTTTCCCAGCAGCTCCATCAATCTGAGGGAAGCTTTGATGAGTTGCCTGAAGTGAGACATTGCACATCACTCATTGTAAAGCCTGCTCAGAGAGCAGTAGAAGTGGACTGAGACCGTGGTAGGGAGGACCTGAGCACCAAGATTTCCTGGCACAGCCCCACTGGCTCAGGAGCAGGAAAGTTAGTATTCTCACTGACACAGATTTGCTGGCACCTCTCCTGGAACCCACAGTCAAGGTAGACACAACATATACAAGCAAGAGCCTTCTGGCTAGATAGCTCACGTTTTTTAAAAAGATGGTTCAACTGTATCAACAGCAGGTCTCCATTTGGTGCTATGAAATGCTTCTCCATCCAGCAGGGAATTTGTGTGCACGGCTATTAGCAAAACTTCTGCTGTTCTACATGGATTCTCAGCAGGTTTTGAAATGCAGATTTTTACCATTAGGGGTGTATGTGGATTTGGAGTTTGGGTCCAACACTTCATAGTAGGTGAATGAAAGTGAAGAAGTCTCTTCCTGCTGCCAGACCATGTCCAGTCTAGGGATGCTGAGAAGCCACTTTTTAATCCATCTTGAATCTGAAGTAAGATTGTCAAAATGCATAACTTTCTAACATAAGTAAAAATCTCATGTCCTATAAGAAATCTTCATCAGGGTGGGGTACTGGAAGGTAACTGATTCCTGCACTGGACTGGAAAGTGTATATCTGTGGAAATATCAGAATTCTCTCCCTCCCACTGCTGCTAAAATTCAGGACTTTATTTGTGTTCTATACTTGCAGACAGTAGAGACAGCAGCCACAGTTTTCCTGTCTTCCATGGGAGGTACTAAAGTTGATGAGCTGTTGCTAATTGTTGCTTATGACTAGAAGGTAGTGATATTGTTCTTCATCTTCAAGGTAGTAAGTGGCATCAAGATAATTCCCTGGAATAAACATTATATTCTTACTTTCCAATGTAAATTGCACTCCTGTTGATGCAATAGACTGCAACTGTTTCTTCAAGCTGTGGAAAATTTGCAGTAAGCAATAAAAGCCTCAGTCGTGTACTTCTGTTGGGCGCAAGTTCCTCCCTGTGTTTTGCTTGCTGAGCTTGTGACAGAGGCCATGCTAAAAAAACAAATTCCCTATCAGCAGTGTATGAACTGTAGAGCAAGTTTTGTTTTTCCACGAGGTTCAAGTAGATCTGGGTTGGTGTCTTCCAAACATACTATTTCCCATGTGCCAACACAGAACCTCACTGCTCTCCAAAATTCACATCTGTTGAGTTACTCAGCCCAAAAGTAACCTTTCTAAGACTGTGCAACTCTTGGTAATGTCCATCCAACTCTTGGTAATGAAATGAAATGAAATGAAAACATTAATACTGGTAGAGAATGTGTACCTTCCTGTGCTGAGTAACTCTTCAGACACACATCTACAGCAGTTCTTCCTTTCCCAGCTGCTTCTTTGCTCTCAGTCATCTGTCAAGTCTATCTCAAGTCTTGGCTTGTACTGCCTGTACAGTTCTGCAAAGCAAGTAAATTCCCTCACTCAACGTACATTGGCTGAAGGAAGGTGGAGTATTTCTTTTTCTTTTTCCTTCTTTTCTCTCCCTAATGGGAGTTGATATAACTTTTCTCAATCTAAAAAATAAACCTACTCCAGTTAAATTACTGAGGGTTTTTTGTGTTTTTCTTTTTCTTCTGCATCTAGACTCAACTTCATGAAAATGTAATTTGGATGTGTAACTCTGCACACTAACGGCTGATGAAGCAACAGCAGCTCTCTCCTGGCACAATGGCTGAGCTCTGAATTTGCCATTTGGGTGTTCCCTGCTGTAGGCAGCCTATGTTTCTGGAGTAGTGGCAGGGGAGCAGACTATACAGAAAGCAAACTCTGCTTTGGGTTTTCAGGACGCTCAGCTAGAAGATGTTGTCAGGCAAACACAGAGCTTCATCCTCAGGCTTTGACAGATAAAATTGTCTTCCTTTTGATCCTTGAAACATTATATTTCTTCTAGTATTCAAGGCAACCAGAAGGATAGCTTCTTGCCTTTTCTATTTTTCAGGAGAAAGCAAATCCAAAATTTGATACCAGAGAGACACTGTCTATTCGAAATAGAGTCAGCTTTTGAAAACAAGTTAAAAGTCAGCTCTTTGCCAATTTTTGTGGGTGTTCATCCTGCCTGGATAGCAAGAAAATTCCTGCAGGGAATCTCATGAATGTCTGAGCTAGCAGGTAATGAAGAGCTAAGCTTCTGTGAAAATTCTTTTTTCCTTCCTTTGAGGAGGAGGAGGAGAAGGGAAGGCAGATGGTAACTCTTCACTGGAGCACTGTGTGTATGTCTGATTTTGAAGCTTTACCTCTATAGAATTGATGTGTTTCACTAAAAAAATTGCATTCTTCCTTCAGAAAACAGAAGCAAGATGTCAGCATGTTCAATGGCTGTGTTCTCCTGAGTGGAGGAAAAGTACCTGGGAAAGCAGTGAGAGGAGAGATGAGGAGCTGCCTGCCACAGAGAGAACAGCTGGCTGGAAGAGAACATATCAGGACAACTGCCAGCATACTGAGCGAGAGGTGTTGGGAGTGTTTGTTGTTCACACTCACCAACCTGATGTGATTTATTGTGCTTTTATTTCATCTTCCTTCAAAGATGCTATGTCTGTTTAAACACAGTTTTCACTCTGTTGCTCACTACTGGAGATGCTTCACTCAAGGAGGCCCAGGTAATATAATGCAGCTTCTTCCTGGAAGCCCAAAATAATGTTTAAATGACATTCTGCAAAGACTGTAAAAATTGAACACAACCTCTGCCTCCTTAGTCATTTTGTGGCAGAGCAGCAGGAAAGCCTGTCTGAACTTGAATCTTGTTGCTGTATTTAGACGTATTTTTTTCACGGTAAAGACGTAGCCTTGGAGTCCATCATCCCAGAATAGAAGAGCATGTCAAAAACACTTCTAAGGTATGATTTGTTCATTAGTCTGTGATCGTACTCTAGGGAAGACAAAGCAGTACATCCTTTTCAATACAAGGGAAATATTTCCTATTTCCTAAATTTGGGGTTTTAAATTGAGTTTACTTTAGCCAAATGGGGAGTCCATCACACTGCAGGGGCCAGCAGAGCATGGTGGGGTTGTTAAAAATGTATTTAAGTCTATGCTAAACTCACTGAATTTTACTAGTTTCAGCAGCCACCTTTCTGAAAAAAACTGTATTTCAACACATTCAAAATGAAACCTTATTTTTCTTTCACATCAAAAAACCCTCTTCTTTCAAGTCTTACCTACACTTATTTTAGTGAAAATCAGCTGATCTCCCCAAAATAGAACATGTCTTTTGCCATTGTGCCCAGCTCCCATGTTTTGTTTCTTTGCTGGCTTTCACTTTTACCATGGGGGGTAAAAAAGCCCTCAGTCCAGAGCAGCCACAGGCCTTCTGGCTCTTTATCCATTGGGCGAAAGCAAAAACTCAGTAATCTGTGAAGATGGGCAAAACTGAGGGTGTTCATCCACTGTGGGCAGGCAATGCTGCTTCTCTCACAGAAGCAGAGAGCACACCATCAAACAAGGACTTGGAGAGCCCTCATTAACACCTCTATGGAGTGCTGATTAATTGGGTTAATTGGCAGTCTGAGCCATGAAACACAATGTCATGCTCAGGGCTGGCCTGGAAGAATGAGACCTGGTAGGGTGCAAGTGGCTCTGGCCATTATGGCCTCCTGACCTTTCAAAAGCTTCCCCAGCCTTGAACTGGGAAGGTCAGGGCCCACTGCCAACCAAGGGCAGCACAAGGGGCTGGAGCAGCTGGTGGGCACCAGGACATGGCAGGCTAGGCTGGTGAGCAGAGCATTGACCTGAGAGGGGAGGAGACCAGGAAGGTGATGGCCATCCCATTTTCAGGAGGAGAAGGGCACCGAGCTGTGACCTTGGTACATGTGAGGACCAGTCCTTTGTAGGTCATTATAGGAGTTACATAAGGTGAAACCAGTGCTTTCAGATTGCTGTCATGCACTCAAATAAAATCAGTTTAAGTGCTAGAGGGGTGTGTATTCCTTCCTGTTTCACCTGCCCCATGAGGTATTGGCTGGTGTTGCCCTCTCCCTGTGGAAGTACATGATGTTTTCTAGCAAGCTCTAGATAGGAGGTAACTGAGGAAAACCATTCCATTCAAGGAGCATGGGGCTGTGGCAAATCCAGGTCATGGCCCACCCAGGCAGTGTCCACATTACTGCAGGGATGCTGGCTTAATTTTCACACGGCAGCAATGTGCAGAGGCCATTATGAGTCCCTGCTCTTCCCTTCACAGTCCGTTCTGCCTCTATGGCTTTGATTAATGCCAAATAAGACCAGCAGGTGTCACTTCCAAGTGTTGCTTCCGTGGTGTGCAGCAGAACAATGTCAACACAGAAGAGAGTTTTAATCAAAGCAAGCAACTGAGGGTACAATAAGGAGCATTAAATTTGGGTGTTGCTATCAGCCAATTGGATGTGTTAGTGGGAGTCTCACGGTTCAGGCAGTCCAACTGTTTACCAGAACCTATTTTCAGAGAAGATGCCCACTGCTGCAAGAGGCAGAGGTGGCACTGGGAAAGGCCACCATCGGGAGCCAGCATCGTCAAGGTGGGATTTGTGTCCATGTGGCTCCCTTCTGTTTTGCAGCAGACAGCAGAGAGGGATGGAGGGGGAGA